ATCGGAGGTGGCTTTTACAGCAAGCTGTGGGATCTCTCACTGTTTATCTAATCTAATTTCCTCTTTGTCATTGTCCTAAGAGAATCATTGCAAGAGAGGAAAAAGTAAAGATGAAGACATGAGCAGTTTCCACTCAAAAGCACCTCCTTTCCTTGTGCAGGTGCAGACAGGAGGGTTTATATAAGCTGCTCAGGATCAGTAATTTTCTTGTCACAGACACATTTGTGTTTTAAGACAACTCCTAAGCTTCATCCCCTCTGGTCAATCCTGCCATTGGAAGAATATAAAAAGTGATTTCTTTTGTACTCCCATCAACTGGCAAAGGCGGGGCATTGACTGAGCCCCTTCTGACCTGCAGAGCTTTTGTGTTCCATGCTCTGAAGTATTAAGTTAGCTAATTATTACTGAGAGGAGTGTGCCAACCTGTCTTGAACCTGCCACACTAAAATAAAAGCAGTCATAAGACCGAGCAAAGCCCACAGCATGAAATAGCTTTAAATTGAGGACACTTTGATGCGCTTCTCCACAGCAATCCAGCAGCACTGCTAAGGCACATCACACTATGTAAAAGCACCTTCTCCTCTACTCGCTCCTGCTCCACCTATGCTCTTTTTCAACACTGCTCTCCAAAACAAAACTCCACAAGCATCTCCACGGTGCAAACACGCCATAGACAAAATAATTCACTCTGATATGCTCTCATTTCCATGACCACTTCACAAAGGCAGTTAAAAAAACCCTTGACAACAGCACAAAGTGAGAAAGCCCGGCAGAGAAAAGCCTTAATATGCAGCTGCAACTTACTTCAGTGCATGTGTATGGTGCAAGTGCCTGGTGAGGAAACCCCACGTGCTTTGTATGATCTCTCCAGCACACGTAGCTCAGAGGGAGGGCGGTACTGCTGTGCATGGAGTAACCGTGATGGAAACCCTCCTCCATGCAGAGGAGGCACGACTGGGCTGTGCAAAGGCATGCACGGCTGAGCCAGCAGCCCCAGCACTGCTGCAGCAGCAGGAGGGCAGAGTGTTTATTCTCAGGGTAGCAAACACTCCCATGAACAACACAGCATTGGCTTTCAAGAAGGAAGCACCGGAGTTTTTTGAGAGAGCAGTATGTGAAATGGGACATCACAAGCCTCTGCAGCCCAGATGAAGCCCTAGAGGAACCAGCTGCTGCAACAGCAGAGAGAGAACAAACTGTCCAATGACAGCAACAAAAACAGTTAAATACCAATAGCATCAATACCTTCATTGCTGGAGAATGAAAGGTTAAAACCATACCAGCAACTGCTTGGGGATAGGCTTTTGAGGCAAAGCCGCCATTCGTTGCTTGCTAATTGTTATGTTTTCCAAAGATTCCATCAACTAAGTTGTGTTCAACAAACTGCTATTTAATTACCAGAGTAGAATCCTGTTAATTAGCCAGCCCCAGAAGACAGCCATTCATCCCTGCTAAGTGAAATTCCCAACTAATCCCTCCAGCAGTAGTTGTCTCACAGCCTGGGGAGACACAGGGAGCTTTCAGAGATGCTCGTGCTGCCAGTGGCCATCTTCAGCCCTGGGAAGGTGCAAACCAGTACAAAAGGTGCTAGAAGTATAAAGCTGTTCATTCCTCTTGCCATTTCTCAGCAGTCCCTCCTGGCTCCATCTACCCCACAGCTCAGCAGCATCTCTTCTCCCTGGGCATACTCCTGCTGCATCCCTATGCTTCCTTCTTACAGTCCATGCTTGTGCCCATGTGAGAGGTGAGCAGTTCTCCTTTAGCCAGCTCACCACCACCCAGCGTCAAAGCTTTCCTAGGAAGATGCTGAGAGCACCTCTGACAAGGTGCTAGGAACATTTCTAACACCAGTCAGAGTTCTCCCCCTCCCTTCCATCTCACCTGGCTTCCCAGGACAGAGACAATCCCCACATGATGGTAGCTCTGCACCAAGCAGACCCGGATGGCAGGACAAGTGCATCAAGGACATGAAGTTCCTACAAAATCCATAAAACCAGCCTGGGTAAAGCAAACAAGTGCTCCAGTCTCATGGAAAGCGTTAGTGTGACCTGCCCCAGCAGCAGACACCAGGTAAAGCCCACAGACCTTGTCCCAGTGTAGGCAAGTAACAACCAGACCTTGTTACCACCCCAAGAAGAAATCAGGTTTCTTCAGTTCCACTAATGCAGCAACCTGGAGTTTCTGTGCTGTCTCTCAACATGGAAGTTAAATGGTTGAATATTATATTGAAATGCCATCAGAAATTCATCTTCATGAATTTCAGGAAGTTGTAGACTCTTCTTTGCTATCCATTTAAACAATTTGATGTTTTTCAAGTAGCGGAGGGGTTAATTTAATGAATTTCAATAAAGCAGTTCTCCAAGTGAAAACAACAAATATTTTAAAGGCTGTTTAGTCTATGAACAAAAGAGATTCGAAGAGAGCTTTACTGAAAAATGCACTGGTTTAAAAAAGCAAGACTGGTAACATTAAATCTCATACAGCAGTTGCAGAAGCAAGACATTTGGATTGCGGAAACCTTGTTTAATGCTCCTTCACTGCACAGGTTTAATTCATAAATAAAGATCAAGTTGTAAAAATAAATCTCAAATGTGCAATTCTAATTTTTAAACTTATTTTATTTTAACAGTTGCCTCTTAATATACTAAAGATGTGGAAATTGTGCAACTTGAACAGCTGCCGAACAAAAACCTCTCGACAATGAATTAATGGGCAGTAGAGTGTCCACTCATCTCTAACATGCAGCTTCTTCTGGTAAAAGGTATCACATCAGTCTTTGGTAGTGTATTAGAACAAACCAACACCTCAAGCAGTTACTATGGACAAACCTTTAAAGATTAACCCTGTTTATATTCATGCCACAACACAAAATCCATTTATTGTCTGTAGTTTTGTTTAAGGTTGCTTAGGAAGCCTTGCTGGCTTGAAGCTACCTGGGGTGGGATCTCCTCCTTTGCACTGAAGTCAACAGCAGTTCTGATCCTCAGCTTTGTGGGTGCAGGCACAGGCCTACTATTCTCCTCAAAGCGTTAGGTGATTTCTAATGCAGTCTAATGCATTAGAAATGATTCATGACACTTTTTCATGAATGTACAGAAAAATATAATAAGCAAGCATACAATATGAAACCATTAAAACGCCTCATCTCTTAAATAAAACAGGTGTGGAGTTTGCTACTGCTGAAAGATTTCTCATTCTAGTCTGAATGAGGGCTCTTCTGAAATCAGTACAATTAAAACACAGTAACATCACCCCAGACAGGTTTAGTACCAATATAAACATGTTCTCTTTAGTCAATTGTTTAGTGAACACTTGACTATTTACATTTACAGTACATGTGCCGTTGTCAGTGCAAGAGCAGATTACGCTGAATATTAGAATAAATGCAGTGTAAGTGCTTTCCCTCTTGGGACAAAACCAGTGAGTAAATCCTAGCACAACAGGAATGTTTCAAAATGAAAACTGAAAACACATTTCACCAAGCCAGTATTCCTCTACATACAGCACATCTAGGAAAAGCAGCATGCCATCTTTGTGCACATCTGCATTTAACTCAGTACACGATAGAAGTACTGTATCTATCTAGTACTTCCTGTATTTTAAGATAGAAAGCCTGCTATCTTAATGAAACACAATCTGAATGGAAAAACAATTGGTCAAAATATCCTTTTAAAGAAATAATGAAGAATTAAAAAAAAACAAGCAAACAAGAACCTCACGGATTGTTTCTTCTCTGCTGTATTGTACTTCCAGCAGATGTCTGTAGGTTAAAGTCGCCCATGAAAACAAGGGCAAGTGTTTCCGAAACTTCTCCTAGTTGCTTGAAGAATGCTTCTTCATCTGTAGCTTCACCCTGGCTAGGTGGTCTATCACAGACTCCTACCAGGACACCTACTTGGTTGGCCTTCCCCCTGGTGCTCACCCACAAACATTCAGCCTTCTCACTCACAACACTGAGTTCAAGGCAGTCAGCTCCCTGACATACAGTGCAACCCCATCACCTCTTTTTCCTTGCCTGTCCCTTCTGAAGAGCCTGAGCCATCCACTGCAGCACTTCAATCACATGGAGTGACTGGAAACATCACATGTTTCTGTGATGGTGATTGTCACGATTTTCCTGCTGCACAGCAGGCAGGCCTTGGTGCCATATAGACTAACCCATCTCCTCCTCAGATTCTCTTATGCTCCTCTAGCTGTTCCATCTCTTCCTGTAGCTCTGCCACCATGCAGAGAAAATCATCAACCTAGTGACACCTTACACAGCCACCATCCAACATTCCCAACAGGCTCTGGCACTCACTACAGCCAGACACCTGGACAGTTACATGTTTATGAGGGACCTCTGTCTGGGTCACCATGTCCTTTCCAGCCAGCAGAGAAGACTTGGTTTTGTTTGTTTTCTGTTGAGAGGATGCCATCCCTGAGCACCTTCTTGATGACCCCTGGCTGAGCTCACCTCGTAACATTGCCAGGCTTCTGAACCCTTCCTGCTCACAAAGTATTTAAAGAATATCTATGCAAATTCAATCACATTAAAGATTACCTTGACCTAAGCAGTGTTTTTAACTAATAATGAAAATATTGCCTACCTGGGGCTCAAGACAGCCAGGTTTGTGTTATAGCCCTACTGCAGCTTTTAATGTCACCACCGGCAAGCCATGCAGCTTCCCTCTGCTTCTGGTCTGCAACGTTGCTTCCCTTGACAACTCCTAACCAGAAGGGACTATGGGGGCATGTACCCAATTTAGTTGCTTCCAACAGTGACAGTCCAAACAATCTGTAGGGAAGTGTCATCTGGGGCTCCAGAATCCTGTCACTGAGAATGAATATTCATCATTTCAATACTGGCTAACAGATATTTAATAACTAGAAAACCTGCTGGCTTCTCAGGGATGCAGGCTTTTGAGCGCAAGTCTTGTGCTAAGGCAGCCAGAATACTTTGTCCTCTTCGTAATGATGAGAGGTGTGAATACGATTTCCAGCTCTATACCTCGTTTTTACATGTTTCTGTGTTCGGGTTTCCATGTTCTGTGTTCAAGCTCAATCTGTCATGATTGCCTCAATCATTTTTAAATTACCTGCTGCACACCAGCCTGTGAACTGCTGTCCAGTAGTTGCTAACAGTAGCTCTTCCCAAACTGCAGCCTAAGAAAGGGAGAAGAAAAATAAGTTACATTTGCATTATTATTTTTTAATCTAAAAGTTAGGCTTGCTAGCTCAGTTTTGAGGTTGTCTAGACAAAAGAGTATTGTAAGTACGTGCTGTGTTATATAATTAATTTCTTCAATCCAATTTCAGCAAGAATTCAGACCCTGAAAATACATACTGCTATACAGAATTGTTCCAATAAATATTTAACAAGTTTACCTTCCCTATATCTGAGTCCACAACTCATCCTGAACGCACCAGTTATGCGAAGCCTGAAAGTAGATTTCTCCTAAGAATTTCCCAAAACAAAAAACCATAAGGCTCCACTTGTGATCCTTTGTGTCTACACAGAGGCATCACTATCCCCCAAGTACCCGAAAACCCTACCAGTAAATTAAACTGATTTATAATTTAACCATGATCTCTGTTTTGCCTTGGCTATGAAATCAGTCCATCTTTCAACAAATTCAAATGCTCACGAAAGAATTAAAACGGGGTAAAGCTACCTGCCACTTTACTCTGGCTTTTAGACCAATTATACTGTTACTTGCTTTTGAGACTTGTTACCACCTAAGCCAAAGCCCATACAAAACTTCAAACACATCTGGACCAGCGTAATGCTCCAAAGTGTGAATTTAGAGGGACAGTATTTATTTATTTAAAAGAACACATAAATACATGTATTTGTTTGCATCACCATAATGACTTTTCCATATACTATTTTTAAGGAATGCCTTTTCTGATATATGAAGTTAGCTTGAGCTTTTAGCACTATTAAGAAATCCAGCAAACTAAATGCACCAGGTTAAACCAAAATGCAAGCAGCCTCAAAGATGAGAAACTAATAAGCTACTTTAATGGTGTTTCCTAAGCTATCTTTTAGAATACAAAGAATTTCTGTGATTCATAAACATCTAATCCAATGCATCATGTAAAGCTGTTCTATGGGCAGGACCATCTGATGTGATGGCTCCCGAGGCAGGCTGAAGACATAAGCTTGACAGCCTCTATCACAATGTCATTTGCCTGCCAGTGGAACAGCTCAAAGACAGTGATGGGGCTGAGCACACCCACTGTCGTTACCAGTGCTCACTATTTGTGGTTGTCCTGATGGTCTCAAGGGTAGAAAGCACTTCATGCAGCAGCAAGCAGCTGCCATATCAAGTTTATGAGGATCTGAAGCATATTAGTCTTCATATTAAAAACTGGCATACAAGTAGTGTCACTGCACACACACCACAACATTTAAGTGACAGTATTTTGTCTGTTGTTTTTTCATACCCCTTGAAAGACTGGTATCTTTAGAAAAGGCTACATTTTTCCTCCCTCCACACCCTTGTCAAGGCTGCTATAGCATATCACCTTTTGAGTTAGGTCTGTACATTTTAGCCAAGACGATGCTGTGTGCACATGTGATGAAGAATGAAGCCAAAAAAAGAGAAACAGGCATAAAGGATTTATTTGTGTTATTATTTTTTATGTTATTTCAAGAGACACTAAAAGCTGACTGAAGTTCACCTTGAGAAGTGACCTGGGACATGAGGTAGGTAGTTCGAGAGATCAAAAAGAACATCTCAAGAAGGGGATGTCATTCAGCCTCTGGAAAACTAGGCCTTTGAGGTCCCTAAATTCACCACCCAGTAATTCAGACTCCCCAAACCACTTGTCACTTCTGACTATCTTCACACCTTGGATTATAAGAGAAGAAAGAAAATTTCAGTCTTCCGGGATGAGTTGGGACTGCAGGGAGGGAAGCTGCAATTCACATACGGGGAAAGAGCCCACAGGCAAAAAACAATTAACTTTTGGCTGAAATTTCCAGTACTGTCTTTCAGCATTTAATGCCTTCTGCAAGGCTGTCACATTTTTCTGACACTCTACTTTTCATGTTTAAAAGCCTGATGCAGCATTCACACACACACACACACACACATAAACACCACATGTGAAGAGGTCATATCTCCTCTCCTTAACAGGTCACATAGGTTACTTGCACATGTTTGATTAGGGGCACAAAGAGAAACCCCATTATTTCAGCAGTGCTAGAACAACAACACTCCTGAACAGATTTTATCTTTCACATTCTTAAATACAAAAAAAAGAGAGGCATGATTCCAGTTGTCTTTTCTTTATCCCCTATGCCCACCAACAAGCCCTCTCCTGGCCATATATTCAACTTAAAATAGTAAATAGGATACTTTTTGTGATATCAGAGTGCATTAAGCTGGCTCACAAAACAGTCTGATAAGTACCAGAGCCAGTGCAAAAGGAGTTAGGAAAGAATGAGCAATATCTTCCCCTTCCAGTGGGAGCAAGCTATGAGATGGGATGAGCTATCAGTGGAAACACCATCTTGGTCCACGTTTGACTACAGAAAGTCACGGTGCTACTCACAGCCATACAGAGGGGCAAACAAGCCATGCCAAGCAGAAATAGTCTTACTGAGTTTGACAGAGTTTAGGAGCATTTCAGTGAAACTCCAGAAGTTGTGCTAGACTCTGTGTGCAGACTTTTGAAGAGCGTTACTGAGGTTCTGGCTATAACTTAGCATAATATTAGCAGGAAAAGATGGTTCTACTTTTCTTTGCATGCCTGTAAGAAAGCAGTTATGAAAACTATAAAATTATAAAGTTTATGCCAGGTGATTATAAAAAAAACACTTGAGATGGAGTATAACACCACAGCTTTCATTTGCTTTATAACACAACAACAAATGACAAACTTTTGCTCGCTTGTCTTAACATAAAAGGTTATAGACCTTAAAACAGTGTTCAGTTGTTGGGTGATGTCAGAACTAAGAAGCTTTACAACAACTGTATCAGATGTGTTTAAAAGAAACCCCCTTACTAAACAAAGTCTAAGTAAAAAGTCAGTATAACATACTGTACTTTCTTTAGGGACCTTCATTGTCCATATACCTCCTTTGGCATTGCTTTCCTCTCCCTGGTTATGGGAAACAGATCAGTGAAAATAAGCATTCAAATTCACATCTACATAACCCTATGTCTGGGATTTCATTTTCCCAGAAAAATCCCATCGGAAATGCAATTACTAACTCCAGGTAGCATGACTCAAGCTATTACTTCTGACATCAGAGGTAAGTCTTCCATTGTTCGTATGAAGTCTATCTCTCAACAGCTAATCCCTTTCCTAAATTGTGTGTGTTGGAAAATACTTACATTTTCCCTGACTACAGAACACCTTTGAAGTGGCTGCATATTGTATGGGAACGAGCCACAAAACTATTTCATGTTTTACTATGGTAACCTTTTATTTTGGAAAAACTCTGGCATATTTTTACAACAGCAGCTTATTACTCTCAAGCTTACCCAATTTAACAAAGAACATGAGCACTCTTCAGTTGTGTGACAGCTAGAAATTAATTGCCCTTATTATAAGATAAAAAAGACTGAAGCTATCCAGGGTCAGGGCAGACATAACTATGAATCTGCCTTGTCATGACAAAGGCACAACATACAAACCTGTGAGCTTCTCAAGTTTATTCTGTCACAATTCTTTTTATAAGATTTTAAACCAGGGCTCCTTTTTTCCTGTTAAAAATGTGCATTGTAAAGTTAAAGGAATTTCCTAAAATTTATCTTTGGAATATCTAAACCCAGCATGAAGCCTATAGAGACTGCTCAGGACCAATGGTCTCCTACCAATCCAGACAAACACTGGGGAAAGGGGGGGGGGGGGGGGGGGGGGGGGTAACATCCTCAAAACTCTGCAGTCCTCAATTCTTTCTTCAGACTTTGTTTTCATTTAATGTAATTTAAAGAACAATGCTGCGATTAACCAGGATACTGTAAGTGTAATCTGAGAACAGCTTCCTGGCAGCAATCGCAGAAGAGTTACTGGGTTACAGATGAGATCAATCTCTTGTAATCCCTTTCCTAAAATACAAAATTACTTTGCCAGTTTCAAAACGGGTGTATCATTTTCAGATGTAATCTTCACATTTCACACCTCTCATACTCACTCACCAAACTAAAACTAAAAATAGCAAAACCAACAAAACAAAACCCAGAAGTGCTCTCACCCCTCCTTACAAAGACGGGGAGACCTGCACAGAACAGTCCGCTTGATTTATACAGACACTAACACTTTTCCAAACCCAGTTTAGCTATCCTGACCAGTCACAGTTCTAGAAATTTATTCTTCAGTAGATCAGGACAGAAACCGTCCTGTATTAAGCCACCACGCAGTTAGACATAAAACGATCAAGAACTCTAATCTTGAGCAAAACTCTTCAGAAAGCGCTTAGCTCTCTCATTGAGATGGGACAGAACCGCACCAGGAAGAAGGTATGCAAAACTCAATTTCTGGAAGGAAAACATTAATTATTTATACTTTATTCCATTACTACCCTACAATCAAGTGGGAATTTGCTGCAATGAATCACTTCATAATGCCTTAAATTAATTTTAATCCAAGGTATATGTGCATTTACATGCTTATGAAGCATAATTTTGCACAGGTGAAGAAGAGTTAAGGACCATCAGTCATTTGCATCATTCTTACACCAGCTTCAGTGGAAAGAAAAAAAAAAAGTGAGTTAAAAATAATTCAGATAGAAACAACATTCTGTGTATTCCTGAACTGAAATTCAGTCGTATTTTAGCTTAGCAGTTCTCTCATCATTTCACTTCTTTCTTACATATGTGTTCAGGGGTGGACAATTAAATTACAGCCTGTGTTTTTAATAAGGACTCTTCAGTACATGTCACTTCTAAGCTTAACGAGATCCCTAGGATACTTCTTTCATGGGTCTCTTAAGTTCAGGTGTTTGCAGGCAACAGAAACAAGATGCTCCTGTCCCACGCCTATCTCCTTCTACCACTTTAGGATTTCTCACTGCCCATGACCAGAAGCGTCTCATGATAACATATACATACCAAAGGGTCTGTCCTTCACCTTGCATTAAATGGTAACTGCATATTGGAGGCAAATTTGTCACAGGAGGAAGGTTGTTGTAGACACTCCAGAAATCCTTAAAAAGAAAAAAAACTAGTTGCATTAATACAAGAGAGTAAGTTTCACGTGGATTTACTTCTTTGTTCATTTTCTCTAAAACCATTACATATCCTGCTCCTAGAGAACTGGCACCTTCTATGTTATAATAAAATGCTCTGAAAAGAACTTGCAATTTTACTTCTGCTTTTTTTTTCTCTTTTAGATGACAATTCTGCATAAGGCAGAGGTACTAAGAAGGAAAGCAGCTGAACTGGGTTACTTTAGCATCAAAGTCCTTAGGAACAGAGAGAAAAAAGAATCAAAATCAGTTACATAGAGTATGTCAGAACAAACCAATACATAAAACTTTTAGTTTTATCTACTGTATACATATGCATATATATATACACTGTATATAAGTAGATATATCTAAAATATATACCTAAATACTCACCTTGCTTCACCTAAGACTAGTCTAAACTTCATTATGATTATCTTGAGTTACAAAAACACCACAGAATATTGCACCATAAAAATAACCCTGTGGAACTAAATGCCTAACCAGCAATCCAACTGCTTAGCCTAGATCACAGTGAAAAGTTTCAACCAGATGCAAAGAACCTGAGATGCACATATTAATACAGGAACAGAGGAGAAATTAGAAGATCCGAGTTACCAGGAACCATCAGATTACTTCCCAGCATTTCTGCTAGTGAGAGCAGAAGCTGTTATGCATGTTCAGGGTGGATAAAAGGCACCCAAAAGCAGTGGTGAGCAACAGGGAAGGATGACTGAAAATATCCCGCTCCCCTTTCTTCTTTATCCAACAGCTGGAAGTAAGAAGGGATTTGTAAAGATTTATGTTGCATCAACAAGCAGTGATGCAATATTAAGCATTAGCGCAGCTCATTAACTATTATCTAATAATCTTTAGCACAACTCTAAAAACAAAGATTGCAACATTATGTGCCTACCAGCCATTACCATCATCCAGTCACGAGAAGAGAAGGATTAAGAATATAAAAGCATCGGTGTGAAACACCCGATCCATCTTTCATCTTACTCTCCCCTGGTGGTGTGCCCAAACCCTAAAGCTACTGACAGTAGAAGGAGCAGAGCTATGCTGGCAGATGGCTGTGGATGTACTTGAGAGCACTTGTGTCCTAAACCAGGGCTGCAGTTTGAAGGCTTTTTGGTTGTTTTTCAGACAAAATCGAACACAACCGGCCGGCACGCTGACCGCTCAAAGGCGCTCTTCGCTTTCAGAGCCAAGCCTCGCAGCGGCGCCAGTGCGCGGAACCGCGGCGCTCCCTTCAGCCACGCTGCTCCCCTCGCTGGCCGCTAGGTGGCAGAGGCGCGCCGCCGGCGATGGGAGGGGCGCCGGGCCTTTCCTTAGCGCCTCGGTCCGTGGGGTCAGGACCCGCCTCCGCCGGTGCCCTCGGTGGGACACGTGCGGTACTCGGGCCCGGTCGCGCCGGACACCGCTCGATGCTGCGGAGGGCCTCCGAGGGCACAGGCAGCTCTTGCAGCCCCAGCATCCATTTCGCCAGGCCTTGCCCGCTGCCGGCTCTTCCCACAAAGCCGGGAGGTGCCTGCGGTGTCCCGCAAGTGGGATCGCTCACCTGGTGTGCCATGCGGCAGTCTCACGCGGAGTCGAGATACTGTTCATTTCATACCAGCGCGAAGCTGGCTGCTGGGTGGCAGTTCCACAAAGCTCGCACACCTCACGTTACTCAGGTGTGGATGCTAGCCTCTGCTCAAGAGTTTAGTAACATCCCCCTATCATCCAGTGAGCAATTTCATTTACCGTAAGTTCCTCTGCAGCCAAGGATCTCTTATCTCAGTGGGTGTGGTTTTTGTATTGTAACGAAACAATTTCCTTCAGGGACACAGTTATCTTCTGTTTTGCTAGGCTTTTCAAACTTACTTCCGTATTTCTCAACCTGTGTTCCTTTCTAATCTGTCTGAAGTTAGTTGTTACTCTTCTTCTGATGCAGATGGTTCATTTATCAGTCTTCCACCGCTCCTCAAGGTCTATGAGCTTACCAAGAAAACATTGTTTTGCCAGACTCAAGATTTTCCAGCTTTCACAAGCATAGCCCATTACAAAATCTTATCTTCTTCATTGCCTGATCATACTTGGGCTGGGTCCATTACCAGCCCTTAGGGTTACACTGACATATGCCAGGCACGGTTTAGCTTCTCTAGCTCACCCGCACACTGATTACTCCCAATTCCCCATCCAGAACTGCCTCCTTTGGGCACATACAGTACCAACTGCACCCCATCATCTTAAAGGTCTTTTCCAATGTAAATGATTCTATTTCTAACCATCATCACAACTTTTCAGTGCATGAGACGTGGGATGGTGCATCCACATGCAGAGACCTCACTGGCTCCTGTCATCACACTAAAGGCACATCGTAACACCTATTTCACAATTCCCAGTAATAGCACACCATAACACCCCTTTTTACAATTCCCAGCACGTGCCCCCACAGGCACAATTTGGGGGGAAATGAGGTAAAAATTACTAAGGCAGTTTGTTAAAACTGGAAACATCCCCCCCCCCCCCCCCCAATCCCCTGAAGCCAAAGTAGGATTTCTAAGGAAAGAGGAATATCAAAGGCAAAGCAACCTCCCATTGCACCTCAGAAGAGGAAACAAAAAGGTGTAAAATGACTAAACCTGGAAACAGAGGCAACAGAGCAGAGGTGAGGAAACAGAAGAAAACACAGTTGTTGCTCAGGGACCCGCTGAAGAAACTGAAAGAGAAAACTAGATCTCAGTAACCCTCCTGATGGGAGGCTGTTTGCCCTGATACATCTGATCAGCATGAAGTGTGCCCAGCAAAAAACTAGAAGTTCCTCTCAGTTGCTAGAGATATAATTTGGGCTTTAGCACAAGAACGAGATATTCCTGTAAAGGAAGACATTTAATACGCAAAACTACTGAAACCAATCACATCTTCAAAACCTCAATATCAGCTCCAAGGTTTTTTGGAGGCCCCTATCAAAACAAGTTACTTTAAAAAGACATACGAAACCAGCAGAGAAATCCCTCCCAAGTTTTTTAGTATAGAACAGACACAGACTTTACTACTTGCCTGTTTATCACTAGATACGAGTACACTGCAACAACGGAACTGATGAGAAAAGCATCACATGTCCAAACCTCAAAGATCACTTTAACTAGAGGTCATCAAAACAAGCAGAAACCCCTCAAGAAATCTGGGGCTCAAGTTCAAGTCCTGTGGCTCGTGAACTATGAAAACTCCTGTGGAAAAACTGGTAACTTGAAAACAGCCACCACAAGAACATTGATCAATGTGTTCAGGAGGAATTAACATAGTAAGGGTTGGGGTTGGGGTCTTTTTTGGTGCTTTGCTTTGTTTGTTGTTGTTTGTTTTCTTTACGCTCCACACTCAGCATTAAAGAACAAACAGAAATTCACATTATTTAACAGAAAGAGCAGATGGCTTTTGAATGCACACACAAAAAAGTAGTAGTAAGTTAAAACAGATTTAAACCTTACCAGGTGATTTAACTGTGTTTGTCAGTCAGGAGTGGAGGATTTGCATCAAACTACCCTTGTTTTTTCCTTGTTGCTGACAGAAGTAGCACCTCTCCTACTGTTTCATGTATAATAGAACACAAGCAGGCAAAGCCTGAGGTAACTTTGCCTCTTGTTGTCTCGCAGCGCTGTCCAAGAAATTACTTCTCTTAGGTACTACTGCCAGTTTGCTAACGTAGAAGTGACCAATGAGCACAGGCTTAACATTATTGTACAACATGCAGTACTGCTGCTCTCTATACTCGCACTGATACTGCCACTGAGATGCTTCAATAGTAAATTCTAGTCAAAACAAGATTAAAATCTATTCTTTAAGGAGAGCCTTCACAAAGGTTATCTAGACAATCATGATAGCCATCCAGAAAATTCAGTGCCATTTGAAAGAGCAGCTAAGACAGTCAGAATCATAGAATAGTTCAGGTTGGAAAGGACCTTAAGATCATCCAGTTCCAACCCCTCTGCCGTGGGCAGGGACACCTCACAATAAACCATCTCACCCAAGGCCTTGTCCAACCCAGCCTTGAACACTGCCAGGGATGGAGCATTCACAACTTCCCTGGGCAACCCATTCCAGTGCCTCCCCACCCTTACAGGAAAGAATTTCCTCCTTATATCCAATCTAAACTTCCCCTGTTTAAGTTTTAACTCGTTACCCCTTGTCCTGTCACTACAGTCCCTAATGAAGAGTCCCTCCCCAGCATCCCTATAGCCCCCCTTCAGACACTGGAAGGCTGCTATGAGGTCTCCACGCAGCCTTCTCTTCTCCAGGCTGAACAGCCCCAACTTTCTCAGCCTGTCTTCATACGGGAGGTGCTCCAGTCCCCAGATCATCCTCATGGCCTCCTCCGGACTTGTTCCAACAGTTCCATGTCCTTTTTCTGTTGAGGACACCAGAACTGCACACAATACTCCAGGTGAGGTCTCACGAGAGCAGAGAATATTCCACTCTGAGGTCATAAAATGGTTAATTTTGATAGTTGCAAATAACGTTTTCCAGAGAAACGGATCAGAGAAATGTGATCAGCTGGCAGAAAACACCATCCAAACAGCAAGTTATCTTTTCAAAAGTTAAGGTGAGTGACCATTAATTTCTAGTCACTTGCCTGGGAAGTGCTCCATGCCCACAAGATTACACGGCATTATTTCAGCCTTTCATCCAGCTCTGGAAAGCATCAATAATTTACGGGTATGAGCATGAACCCCAAAACCTTTTAATTAAACCAGCTAAACTAAAAACCCTATTGAAAGGACTGTGAATGAAAAAACTATTACATGCAGCAACTGAAAAGTTCAGGATCATTTGCTGCAGAACTTACACCTGAAAAAAATCAGTTTAATGGATGATTATAAAGCAAAGGCAGTATTCTCATCACAGACAGAAGGGAAAAGCTGACAAATCTAAACCACTGTGTTTTTGCAATAGCCACCCATAAACTCAGATCTGCACAGATGACAACCATTTCATGCCTTGAAACCCATGAAATTGTGATTTTAGTTTTTACTGAGTACACAGAGTAAGTTTAAATTAAGTCAGTGGAAATGTCAGATGACTTCCAAGTGAAGGAATCTGTAGAAATTCCTACTTCTGTAACTCTTCTAGCAAACACACTATAAGGTAGAAGTAGATGGTTGTGTACTTTACAACACATTCTACTCCAAAACAAGAACCCTGCAAAAACTGACACTTGAAACTGTCCCCCTGGGCTGCCTGTTCTGTGCCCTGGGATGCCACTTTCCTGCATCTTCAGAATCCTTATGGGAAAAATTTTACTGCAACGTCAGGAATAATCAAGTTGCCTAATCATGCCAGGCCCACTACACAGCATCTCATGGTAAACTGCATGGGTATCATTAAAAGTGGAACATGGAAGCAGGAATAACCTAGGCAAACTGAATCCTAATGCAAGCTTGCTTCACTACTCCTTCATTATTCCAGCACCAATAAAGAACAAAGGCTACAAAGATAAATTCCATTGTTTTACCCATGAATAAACCTCCAGGTGGTTATGCTTATGTTAATGTCTGATGCTGAGTTGCAGCTCTCCTATCCTTAATTCTTCACAGGGAAACAGAAGTTTTTTCATGTGTGCTCACACTGGCCTGTGTTTCCCAGTGGGAATCTCATCATAGCTTTAGCGGGAGCTTTAAAAGCTGCCAAGAACTTCTGAGAACACCCCTGTAAGTACTTAGCAGCAACTGCTTTTGGTATAAATAAGCAAAATATTTACTTACAAAGAATAAACTCAAAACCATGCAGTGGCAACTAAATAAATCTGGTAATCCATTCTGAGTACAAAGACTGATTTCATGCCATCAGAAATTGTCAAAATGCACTTAATGGGTTGAACGTTCTTATAATATTAACCATCATTTTTCATTGTAAGCCACCTACTCGTAAGCTTTAATAGATGAAATAGATGATCCTAGATAAATAAGATTTTGCTATACAGAAGAAGGGAAATTAAGCTTAGTTTCAAATATCTGATGTGTTCTGTTATGAAGATTCACAATTATTATGAAAATGGTTCAGTCATCAGAATGTATCTATTAAACTTTATTTATATGGAACTCCAGTACAACACACAGAGAGGAAAAAAAAAGCACATAAGGATAAAACGTTTATGTAAGGATCATTTCACTTTCCTGGAGTAGACTAATAACATTATTACTACCATATTTGACTATTTTTATAAGCATATTCTTACCCTCACAGAATACAGAAGAGTGAAACTATTCTTGCAATAGAAACAAATGACACCTACAAAGCACTGTTCAAAAGCAGGCAAGAAGGCAGGCCACAATCCTGTAAGGCAATCTGCCCTGTGTGATGAAGTTTAGCTAGAAACGAGACTTCCATACTAGGCTGTTGTGTGATGTGTGCTCAATTTCTGACAGCACTGATCTGTATACAAGGGTGCTGGTATTTTCCTTGCTGTTGACTGAAAACAGTCTGTCAGCAACACTGTCAGCTCAAATGCAGTTAGATCTTCAAGGGATGGCTTTTTGCAAGGGTATGCAACATCTTCATCACTGCATGTGCGTGCACACACATTGAATTGAAAGCTGTTACTACTGGCAAAACCTCCAGCTTCTTGTCATGAGGCTCAAAAATCAAGCAGCTACTAGTGCTAGTATGCTCCCTCTGATATTTTGGTAGGGAAAGGCTTACTTGGTGTAACAGTAAACATAAACTGGCATACAATACCCATGCTAAATTACATCAAAAAGCATAATCAGCTTCACAGCTTTATATTTACACAAAGATTGCACCCAGATCCATAACCCTAAATCCCATTACGGGATGATTTCAAGTGCTTAACATGGCTTGTTATTCAGGACATCCCAGCCTTTGATGGCCATTTCACTTGACTTCTGTGCAATCCCTGTGTTGAATGTGCTACACCACGTGGATATAAGCAACCAGCTCTGTAACCCTTCCTTGTTTCTAATTTGTTTATATTCAGGGATGCACGTTGTAATAAAATTAAAAGACTATGAAGTGTAGCAAGAACTGGAAAGCCAATCTTTACTTTCAAAGCTAGAGGCTGCTGTAAACAGGACCCAGCACCAATCCAGAGCCTCACCAAGATAAACACAAGCATGAAGTGCCACCAACATGAACCAGCTTCCCAAGGTGGCACCAGAGGCATCTGCAAGACTTACTGAAATTCCCCATGCCCCATAACATCACAGCATGCAGAAGTACTACAGATGAGACATGCAGGTATGAACTTGAAAACGTGGACAAACGAAACAGCAGATCTAAACTCCTGGTTTCACAGCTTTTAGCATATGACCTTATAACATTTTAACAGTTTAAAGGGAAATCTTGTTTCTCCTAAGAGAAAAACACCTGACGGCTTCTCTTCTATGAAGCTGCTGACCCATAAGCATTCGAAGATCATAGATGGGATCTTATTTGTCAAACTGGTGAATGAGATTCCCCCAAACACTTTCATCATGCTCACTTTCCTAAAGCATATATGGGGCAAGATACAAAAGAGTGGTATCAGATGGCTGCTATTTCAGACACATACCGAGAAAGGCTCAGCACTTACGGGAAGTGCACACGCCCCATGACACGTGAAATAATGGCAATGAACCTGAACCTGGTCCCAGGATCCCAGCCTCCTCTGAGTGCCCAGGCACTCACAGAAACAAGTGCTGCTGCAGATAAACCAAAGGCATTTACTTCTAAAGCAGGACATGTATTGAGTGACTCCATGATAAAAGCAAGGTCATGAACCCCAAGGGAATAATTGGTGGCATATCACTAGTTGTTATAGAAAGTACCATTCAGCTGATGGGTATTTATTTTAACAGTGTGACTTAATGAAAAGATACATTTTGGAGATATTAAAATGTATGTCATGGATCTCTCACAGTAATTTAATAGAAGCAGATTATGTATCCATCTCAGCGTCTGTTTATCCTTAAGCATCATTTCTCCCTGCTTTTCAGTCCAAGTAAAGGGTAAAATGTAGTAGCAGTCAAAAAATCAATACTAGCTCATTAGGAAACATCACTGCTCCACACTAGAAGTGGCTAAAGTAAGTTTAAAAAGTGGCTACACTTGCGTTCTGTGGCAAGTCCAGCCTCTCCAAGTCTAAGCAACGATCCCACCATCGAACCTCAGTGGGCACACCGATAAATGTCACAGCCACTTCTATGGGACTCTGTAGAGTCATGAACCTCCATGTCTCCACACACTGTGTGTGTGCCGTTGAAAAGTTACAAAACAAACAAACAAACCAACTCAAAACTCCGAAACAAAGGAGAATTTTACCAGTAGTACCAGACAATATGTTCAGCCACAGAAAGGCTGAAAAGGAGAAAACTCCTTCTGGAGTGGGAGGAGAAGAGAAATACAACTGAAAATTGAGAAAAAGGAGCTGTAGAAGGTGAAAACCACGAAGTCAGAAAACACACCCCAGAAAAACAATATCAGATTCAGGGTTTAAAACTTCTATTTCAGTTCTGACTTCGGTGCTTTCGCCCTGTACCTAGTTGCAGGCACCTCGGGGATGAGTTCCCTCTGCACCAGCTTTCCGTGACGATTGGAGTGGAACTTCAAGCGTGTGAAACGCAGTGTGAACACTGCCGTTCATTAATAAATCCTAGTTAATCCTTAAAACCAGATCACATCAGATTTAAAGATCTCATCGTCTACAGGAGCCAAACCTTGCTGTTAAAGCATTACAGGGGGACCTCGATCCGTCTGGGGAACGCACCAGAGCGTCCAGCCTCCTGTCCGCAGGGCTCGAAGCATCACCTCTAAATTCAGCGTTTAAACGGGCACTGAAGTTCCCTAATCAGCGCTCACCCGTTCAACTACAAACCCGAAAGCGTTTCCCAAACACGCTTCATTCACTACCCCCCGGAAAACGCTGAGGCTCCCCCTCGATGGGAAGGAAGGAACACCGCCTGGCTCCGTTTCACGGCCGCTTTTCCCACTCGCAGCGCAACATCATCTGCCGGTGTCCCACAGGAGAGCCCGTCAAAGCTTCCCACAGACGGGTTTTGGGGGTTCCCCTCCGTAAGACCCCCCCCCCCCCGACCCCACTCACTCCTCCAGCCAGAAGGTCCATGGCGAGTGGAGCGGCAGCCTCGGCCGCCCGCCGCCTCCCGCTGGGGGGGGCTGAGCGCCGGCTCCCCGGCCGGGCGGGGGGCGAGGGGCGGGCCGGGACGCGGGGAGGGGACAAAGGACGCGGCGGGGGAGGTTGGGGATGAGGAGCCGAGCGAGGGGCGGGACGATGGAGGGGGGTGAGCAGGGCTCGGGGACTCGGGGTAGGGCAGGGACACATCCGGAGGGACCAGAGGCCACTGGAGAGGCGCAAGGACAGAAGGATGGGTGGTGTGGACGGAGCCACGCTGATGGTGACAGCAGTGGACATGGCCAAGGCCCATCCGAGGGCATGAGTGGCTCCAGAAAGGGGCACTTACCCAGACCCATGTGCTCACCCCCAGCCACATCGGGGCACAGAGGAGTGGAAGTGTTGATCCGCTTTGTTAGACTCTTGCGAGAACCCAGGGCCATAAGGTGTCTGGGTGGGCAGGGTGCCCAGTGCCAGCATCCTGCACACCATGCACCGCTAGCAGCCCCTGTACTGCACATACACAGATCACACCAGAGACCAAACCAAGCTCTGGGGCTGCCTTTCTGAAGACAGTGTCCTTCGTGCACAGTTTGGCTTGGCAATGCTGACCAGCAAACTATATCTCTCTAAAAATCCAAGTTTTGGGACACAAAATCCTTGCACATTCACAAAGGGAAGGAATTAATACCATACACACTGAGCATGGATGGGAACAATAACGTAACCATGAACCTTTCCAGACTTGGGGAGATAATTTATCTATCTTCTTCTTTGCAGCCGATTTAATTTACATGCTTGGTTTTATAGGGAGATGCCCCTCATAACCCAGCATGGACATGCACGAAAAACCTCACGTTATTTTTATGATAGTATTTTTTAAATCAAGATTCTCCCCAGTGGCACTATAAACAGTAGTAAAGTTAAACACCCACATAAGTGATAGCAGGATCAAAGGCCGTGAATCACATGGGTTTCCTTGCAAGCACATTTAGCAGGATTAATAGTTTTGTACATACTTCATCCTAAAAGAAAAAAATCAATAAAGACACACTGCTTTAAAGACAGAAAGCTGTAACAGTAGGAAAGGCCAGAGATCAGCCATAAAAAGCAGCCTGTACAGTGACAATGAAGAAACAAAAAAAGTTAATCATTATGTTGTGCAGATGGAAAATGCTAACTGCTAAACCAAATTAAATAAGATCTGGAAAACCAGTTGTGCCATCTCTTGCAATTTAATTTACTCCTCTTTAAATAGAAGGCAAGATAATTTGGGAGAGCTTGGAATCTAAAAACTCATTGGTATGCCCACTCCAAGACTTTTCTCTCTATTTTGATGGTGAGGCCACCAAAAATACTAATCCTGGAAAAAAAAGAAATCACAATCGGTTGCGGTATGTAGGCACAGATTTTCTCAGAAGGGCTGGAGAAGAGAGGAGGAGAGTGCTAATTTCTTATAACCCTAAAGGGCCACATCTTCCCTCTGTGATGGACAGCCTCCATACCTAATATATAAGGCCAAACACACCAGACTGTAGTACAAAAACTAACTTTGAATCCAGCACCTGCCTCTGATGGGAACCACACACTTGAGTGAAAACCTCCAGATTCCATTATTAGAGAGCTGCTCAGCATTTAAATCATTATAGCTGAGGTTGAAAACAGATTATTCTGTTATAAACAGCCCGAGCTGCAAAGAGCAAAATAGAAGTACAACCCCCTCACCTCTGAGACACAGTACCAGGCAGCAGAGCCTATATCGTTATTCCATAAGAGACATGTAAAGCTTCCATTTATTTCTTATTTACATCAGTAAACACCAGGCTTCACAGTGGCATAAGGTACATTGTGGGAATCTCAGCTAACAGTAAATTAATCTGGTTGTGGAGGAAGGGCAATCATAGGATGCATCAAATTAGCGCATCCTTTGCCTACAGAGATTTCTAGGGAGTCGTGACACAGAGGCAAGAATGAGCCTCCTGAGATGGATCTCATAAGAAAAAATGATCATGAGAACAGCATCCCGACTCTGCTCAGCCAGCTCACGCTGCCAGCACACCCTGAACTAAATCAACTGAAAGTCCCAGGAAATTATCAGCATTTTCAGAGAGATATTTATAGGACTTTAATTATTAAATATATATTTATATTTGCATATATCTTGAAGGTTGCTTTTAACAGAAACCCTGGTGATGCTGTCTCCTGTGCTTCTGTACCCTCTCAAGCAGATTTACCATAAACAGTGTTATGGCACAGTCCCGTGCTACAGGATGCTGCAAAGGTGTGATCAGTCGCTTAAAGCTCACCACCATAGAAGCAGCTTCTGGCTCCATTCCATGCCTTCTCTCAGCCTTTCACTTGCAGAGCTCTCCAGGTGAACAAGTAATTTGCTGCTAAGGCCTTATAAAGCAGGGCTGTGTGGGTGAGAGCAGGAGTCAGCAGTCATTAGCTCAGCTGATTTCAGATGGGTAACAGCTGAAATTTTCCCAGGTAACAACTGGGGAGAAAAAAGCCCCAACAAACTGAAGTGGGGAATGCCATTCTGCCCCATTCTGGGTGTTCTAGCACTGCTTGCCTGCACCCAGTTTCAGGTACCAATCTGGCACAGCAGTCACTCCATGCTGGGGCTAATTAGAGCTGAAGAAGGCACACTGTAACCAGAAGAAACAATAAATACTTCATAACTCTTTCCATGGTTTTACTTGAGATCTTAATCCCTGCTGTTATAATCCCTGCTGATCCCAAAATCTTGACAGCAAGGGGTACATTACATATGCCTGAAAGGTTATTTGCCTCTTCCAGTAGGTTTTCCCACAGCCCCTGCACCCAGCTAGAGAAGGAAATCCCTGTGATATAAGGAAGGGTGTTTCGAAAGGGCAGATTGACTCTTGAAACCATCAGGACCATCCTTTCTGCCACTGACAGCTGTGTACCATCACTGTGGCAACTGCAATGCCTGCGCACATGAGAAATACTAGGAAAGCATTAGGCTTATTTTAGCTGTATTCTAATGCAATGTGGCACCTGGGAGGGAGGAGGGGAACAAGCACCATATGAGCAGTCATATTGCATTTCCACCCTGGAAGCATTTCACAGCTATTTTTGAGGCAACAGGTACCTCGCCCTAGAACAGATCTAATAGATAACCTGGGTTTGTTAGTTCAGTGCTCCCGATGCAAAATGAACTGTGTGAAATGTTGGGCTTCACCTTTCCCCAGCTGAAGCTCCTCTTTCTCACTCTGAGGCAGAGGTAGATGGAGCATAAACCTTTCTGGACTTGAGGGATGGCTGGAGCAGAAGCCTTGGCTGCTGTGCCCAGCTGCTGCTCTGCTGCCTTGCAGGCTGAGCCAACAGCCATGAAATGGAATTTCTCTAGTAAACGCTGGTGTCACGATCACTTGCTCTTGAAACACTGCCTGGGACTTCAGAAGCATATTAAGTAACACAAGAGCTGCTTCTGAAATGTTCCCAGGAAGATAAAGTGATCAACCGAGAGCTGGAGCAGAGGTGAGGATGGAGGTATTTTAGTCGATATTTGCTTCCAGAGGCTTAAATAAATGTTTTTTTAAAAACCTAAAACATGATATTAAAGTGTTGAATCCCAATGCTTTTGGCAAAAGCTCCCTCATCTAGGAATGATTTCATATCAGCCAAGCTGTTAAGTGGAGGTTGTCATGGAAACCAGTTATATTCAAATGATACGGCCAGAGATATACTGTATTTAGTGAGTTCTTCATTTGCTGCATGTTGGGAACATGTCAGAACTAAATGATATTGCATAACTTTGTTTTGTTGAAAACAAACTGGCTCGCTACCCGTTTTCCTCGCAGGCTTGCGTCCGGTCCTGCCTGGGACAGAAGGTTTCCAGCACAGAACCAAGCATTGCTCCATAGGAGAGGCTCCTCACACAGCTGGTTCCTGCCACCTCCCGTTCAGAGAAGTCTTCCTTCAAATACATGAGCCTGCCAAAGTCGAACAAGCAGAGGAACCTTGCCTTAGCTTGTACAATTGACATAACCAATCACTACTACAAAAAGAAGTCCAGTTCAAATGGATCTTTTCTTTCGTTACTATAAAAGTTCCTACATACGCATTGTGAAAGTCTAAAAAACCCTAACCGTATACAATTACATAAAAGTAAAGCCAGATCATGCATTCATGGGCACCCCATAAGTGTCCATGACCTCCTTGCAAAAACAGGATTCCTATTAACTGTCTGTGAGTGATGCTAGAACAAACCTCAGAGAGGACCATGTGCATATTGTATTTGTATGTCTGCTTTTTCAGCTGTGGAACTGCTAAAAAGTGCAGGAACTTAATTCCACATGCTAGTAGCAAATGCATATTTTTTATATTAAAAAATTAATAGAATAGTTCTTGCTCAAGTTATAATCCAAAATCAAATCATTTTTGGCCAGGACACTGTGTGGAAACTTCATCCTGAAAAGAGAAAATAAAAATGAGAGACAAAATCGGCTCCAAAATCACTATCATGGGAACTGCTGTGCAGCTTTTACAGAGCAGTGTCCAAGTGTTTTAAGCAATATCCCAAGGGGTAACATTCCTGATTGCCCAAGAGAAGCTGAGCATTAAGTGAAAGTCAAACAAAAGTAAAACCTTGCCCTTAAAGTTACTCTGTAACTGATGAACATACAGTAAAATGCTTCACAGGAAGGTGATGGCATCTCATAACCTCTTGGTCTGGGGGCCTGTGAAAATGGAATGGGAGCTTGCTAACTTTTGGGGCAGGTAATCCTAGATTTCTCCAAGCTTTCTCTCTATTACAGTTTTTAAGGGAAAAACCATGGCCAAATAGCTCCTTGCTATATGAAAAAGCAAATCGCAGGATGGACTTCTGCCAGATGTGAATATGAAGGTGGCAGTACCAGTCCTCTACCTGCCTCAGACTGGTGTTCTAGCTGGAAAGGCATCAGTCTCTCCAGGATCCCTGATGCACTGCAGAATCACACTTTCTTGTTACCATCACTTGTGAAGGAAGACTGAGCCTCATCCAAAGCCCTTTACAGTTAAGTAAAGGCATGTATTGACTTCAATATGCTTTAGATTAGACCTTTATGCTTTACCTAGCCACCTTGGGGGAGCTGAACTGTCTTACCTCAGCATTCAATCCATGCATTGGGTATTAGGAGTCTTGAATCCCTTACATAGTTTTGGATACTAGGCTTTTTCTTTCGTCCTTATACCTTCCCATTCCCCATGCTTGTAAGG